GTCGTACGTCGTACTAGTACTATATATATATAGTTATATATATATATATATATATATATATATATATATATATATATATATATATATATATATATATATTTATATGTATATTTGTATAGGTATATTTATAGATACGTATACTCCGGATTTTCGCAGACGGAGGAATCCTTTGTCAGGTCGGTTTTTATCACATGGCTTTCACATCACCCCTATCAGCGAATGACCAGTGGTTCAACTATGTTTGCATAGTCATTACAATCGCGCTTGTAAAGCGCTGTAAAACCTTATTCTCTGCAACGTAAGGCTTAGGGACACTATATCGCACGATTGACTATATAGTTGATCGATATACACTTACCGTATTCACCATGTTGTCGGCCCTGTCTCTCTTTGCGTTAGGCAAGGTTGCTTTCTGGGCATCCGAGGACGCTGAAGTAGTAGTCTGGTTTGTTTGTCACTCCTTGTAAGAGATATTTACCTTTGTACACCGATTTCACACTCCGCGAGTCCACATTATGTAAACAATGTAATTACATTACATATGTACCAATTTTCTAGAATAGTATAGATTTAATAAATTTCCAAATTAGGATAATAAAGCACTCCAAAAAGCTATGTGAAAAATCACGCTCGATTCGTCGGGATCTTTATGCTATTACCAGAAGTAGGTGTTTGGAAGTGTATTTACTATTTACCCTCCTTCTCGTATCGTACAACAGAAATATATTCCCGTAGCTTGTAATAGAAAACCATAGACAAAGCGATTGCTCATGACGAAGCTATGTACTACCACGACTCTCTTGTTGACTAGAACCCTTCACAAACGAAATAACTTTGATTTGGAAACTATAAATGTATAGTTGAGTATGCTCACACAGCCCTTGATTTTGTAAGAAATTCTGTAGGGTACGGTATATCAGAAGTTTTTGTAGAGCGCATCCATTGTGTGAGGAAATGAGGTCTTAGTGCACGTGATATTTTCAAGCATACAATTGCGCGCAAGAACAGTCCTACTCGATTATAAAAGTCCAGTCACTGCAATTTCTGTCCATTTGGTGAAAAGTAGTAGTGCATTTTCAAAGTCAAATCACATAAACTTTGTGGCTACGAAATAACTTTGATTTAGAAACTATAAATGTATAGTCGAGTATGCTCACACAGCCCTTGATTTTGTAAGAAATTCTGTAGGGTACGGTATATCAGAAGTTTTTGTAGAGCGCATCCATTGTGCGAGGAAATGAGGTCTTAGTGCACGTGATATTTTCAAGCATACAATTGCGCACAAGAACAGTCCTACTTGATTATAAAAGTCCAGTCACTGCAATTTCTGTCCATTTGGTGAAAAGGGATAACTGGTATTTATTCGCACAAACTTATCTGTTGTCACGCCTCGAACTCAATTATATACTGGCCAGCTGTCCACTTCAACAATGTAGGACGCGAGACAACTATTTAAACTTAATAGCAGAATTGATCGAGATCTATGCCGCCCTGAGCTAGGAAAGCACGGTGTATACACAGCGCGACAATAACCGGGAAGGGCTCGGCCGCTTTCTGCTTTAAAATCATGGATCGCAGAATGGATTCGGTAAAAAAACTACCTAGAGGCGACTGTGTTGCCGGCGACATCTGAATCAACAGTGCATCTACGCCTAAGCGCGAAACATCTCTGCAGCGTTCTTCTTTCCTTTTCAACCAAAAGCCACCCAGTGACTTCACAATTTGTATCCTGTCGTCATCACTCAGATAAGATTCGCCAATCATGGTCTTTAACACTAGTGGATTTGTAAAATGCCCAACCTCCTTGAACCGGTTTCCTAGTACAGTATATGCTTCCCCCTCTGATAAAGCTGTGACCTTTTTGCTGATTGAATCTCCAATCACGCGTGTCCCAATAGCAAGCACAGCTGCGATTAGAAGCTCCTCCAAATTTCTAATCGCCGTCTGCTTATTGACATCTGCCGTCTCTTCGCACCTTTTTAGTTTGTCTTGTACTTTTTCTCGAGATTTTACATGTTCATCCCTCACCTCAGCACCGGCACTACCTTGTTCTGCTTCGCTCGCCCTTCTACGATGAAATCGTGTGTGATCTTCAGCGGCACTCTTTGCGACTGTATCCATGACTTCGAACCAACTAAACATGGTCCCACAATCGTCTGCTTCGTGCTCTGTCGTACCACTCATATTTAAATTCACCCCTGCACTCTTGGCCGTACGAGGGACTATTCCATTGCGCTTATGAGCGAGTATGCACCATGCTTCTGCGTGCGCATCTCCCTCGCATTCTTTTAAAACATTTTCTAAATGTAGATGTGATGCACACAAATGCCTTCGAACAGGCGGCATGGATGCTAATAACAAGAATGGACGAAGTAGGTCCATATCGTGCGCCTGCATTCGATATAAACTCACTCGCCTTAATTCCTGCAATGCAAGCGTGTGATTGTATGTACAGCCGGATTTCCCCTTTAGCGAAGGCCAAGGCCGGTTCACATTTGGTAAAGAACATCTGGGCGTGTATTTGGTATTTACTTTGATGATGTCAAGTCCAGCTATTTCATCATCCGCAAGTAACCCAGCAGATGAAGAAGAACGACATCGTTTCATTCCGTGCATACTAGTACAAGCATTTGACTTTATTTGAAGTGGCGTGAGTGCATCCGCAACATTTAGGAACGAGTAACTAACGCGACGTTGCGCAACCATTGTCGTCAGGGTGTATGATTTGCCTCCACTGACAGGGTTGTCTGCATTAATATATTTATATATCCCCTTTACTCTTAGTATTAATCCTTTGGTTTGGCTTGGCGTCTGGCTATGCTGCTACGGCCGCCCACACCTGATTTGTTCTTTATAAAAAAACAAATACAAACTGAAATAAAAATTTAAATTTGCGACACACACAATAGATTTAGGATATATTTTACTCTTTCTGCGTATTTTTATTTATAAAAAAAGAACGAATATGATGTAAATATGTATATACTGTATTTGTTTACTATTTATTTACATATGTCTTGTGTTGTTTTTGATTTCAAACCAAAATCAAAATGTGTGAATTCAGTCAGTTCACTCATTTCACCGTACATATCACCCCCGTTGCCAAAATAAAATGTGACGAGTCGTCACATTTTACCAAAATGCACCCGGTAAGGATTTTTTTTTCAAAAATAGTTTGTACCAGAGCTGGTACAAAGAAAAAAATGAAATGAAATGTGACGACTCGTTACATTCACAAATCCCGATTTTTATTAGTTAGATTACTCATCAAAAGTTAGGACTGCATGAATTATATAGATTTTTTTCAGGAATAAATTTTATAATTTAGATCCACAAGGTAAATTATCAGGATAGAAACTGTCAAACCAGATCCAAAAGCAGACTTGCACTTCCAACAATATTTCAAAAGTACAGACGAATTTTTTATGAATATTTCATTCAATAAAATTAATGATTTGGGTTTAGGGTTATATTAACACTGTTCACTTGCCTACGAGGCCCCACCCCGCCCCGTAGAGTCCACGGCAACCAGGTAAACCCATGGTCCTTGACATAGCTTACTAACGCTCATCGTCATCAGAGGAACTACCATCGCTAACACTAGTACTGCCACTAGTACGTCTGTTGCACTCGTCGTCAGCCGAATCACCATCACCACTAACATTAGCACTGCCGTTGGTACTAGACTTGCGTCTGTTCCCTCTAACGCCTACCAACTCGCCCTTGAAGTGTTCATCTTTGTGGAATCGTGAAAAACAACTTTCATTACGTGCATCTAGTGAATCGCATACATCTAGTGAATGACTTTCACTATAACTATCAACATGTACATCCTGTTTATGTTGCGGGCGTTTATCCGCCTCTCGCTGGGGGTATGTTAAGCCTAAAACGTTGCGTACCATAATGGCTTTGCAACTACTATGCTAGCACAATTGTGAGTTTATGTACACGCTTACTATAGAAGCTACAACTTCATACTAGAAGTTGCAACTTCAAACATTTACCATTTCGGTGTCGATTGTCCGATCAATGTGTTTCTTGCCTCGTTTTCGCGCTGAATTTTCCGGCCTTTTGATTCCGACAAATAGCTAAGGGCCAAAACGTATCATTCGTGGGGCAAATAGGGGCTCAACAAATTCGTAGTGGAATATGGGGACTCGTTACATTTCCAAAAATCCCCAAAAATACATCTGGGCCATTTTTTTAAGAATGTGACGACCCTTCACATTCTCTGGCACTGGTGATATGTTTATATATATTAAAAATATAGACTTTTTATTTTGTGATTGCCAATTTAAAAATATTAAGAAAGAAAGGTCAATTTGTAATACATTTATGCATTTTCCACCGTAGAGCCAGCAGTAGTGATGCAGATGCAAGATGCACTATGCACTTTGCGCTATGCACTATGCACTATGCACTATTATTTGCACTAAATATGCAGCTCCTTCTTGTACTTCGAGAGAAAAAAATAAAACACCCCTCTCTCGTCTCGAGTCTCGGACTCTCGGCCTCTCGCAGTCTCGCCCCTCGAGCTCTCGGGCCTCGGCCATTTTATTTGATTTATTTTTAAAACACAAATTAAAAAAGAGCTATGCCCTACCTGCCTACGCCCTACGGCACAAATTTTAGCCCAGCCCCACACAAACACGGAGGACGCCGGGCGGCCGGCAGTCACACCGGGCGCTGGCAGCCCCGGCACAGTTAGAGAGAGCGACTAAACTCATTATGAGTTAAACCTTTACAACGTTCTAGCGGTTATAATTTGATCAGAAGAACCTACCTACATTGTTTAATAGGACTGGTTCGCACGTTGAAAACTGAACACACATAAAATGTTTAGACCCGCAAGGTGCATCAATGAGCACACAAAGAACCGCATATAGAATGAAAGTTTAACGTAAACGTATACTTCTATTATATTTAACGGAAACCGATTTGAGGTTAGGTTAGCGATCAGCCATCTGCGGCCCGCCACAGCCCATAGCGGCACAGCCGCAGCAGTGCCACACTGCCACCCCTATATATTACATATTACTATTTGCTCTTTTTTTTTTTACACACAACAAATACAAAACTTGTACATACTACAAACAGTCAAATATCAGGAGTAAATTCGGTTTCAAATCTCAGTCTCAGGCTAAACTTATTTCGTTATGGAGGGAAGTTTAACATATGCGCATATTTATTCAATTTTAAACCGTTATAACGGTTATAATATGATCAGAAGTGCCTACCCAAGTTCATTTGTAGGACTGGATAGTGGTACACCCTTAATGTTTAGATCCAAAAGGTGCACCTAAAGGACCAAATGTGGAATAAAAGTTGAACGTAAACGTATATTTATTCGATTAATAAAAGTTTTAATGGAAAGCAGTTTGAGGCTAGGTCTCGGGCTCTCATACCTCTCCTGAGTCTCAGGCCTCAAATCTCACTGACAGTCTGACTTGTTGCCTAAGCTCGATAATACGTTTTGCCTATACACAATTAACAGTAAACGTAACCGCAAAAAGCTTTGTTTTTTAAGCGTTTTAAAGTATATCGGGGGCAAATTGACCGTGAAGATTTTCCAAATTTGCACCTGAGAAATTGACCCTGTTTAATGAAAAGGTGAATTGAATCTATTCACAACTGAGACAAAGTGAAAAATAGGATAATTCGTGACAGTTAGGCCAGGCCGCCTCAAAAATTGTACCTATTTGTAAACCCATAGGACTATATTTATGATAAACTTTTAACGTAAACGCTTATTTTTGATAGTTTTGCGTTTTAACGGTAAACGTAATGAGGCTAGGCCTGAGCCCGCCCTGAGGTTTGTTTTTGAAAAGAAAAACAGCATTATGTATATCAGTTGTACACGTGTATTAGCGTATGACAGCTATGACTGATTGACTGTACATATCTTTGACTCTTTTCCTTTCTTTTATTTTTTGTTTTTAATAAAAGAGCAAAACCAATTTGTTGTAGAGCAGTATACATATTTGCGTAACCTTCTTCTGAAAATTGAACAGAAAGCTATAGCCTATGATATTCATTGTTTTTAAATTGTTGCTGTTTTTCTTAACCAATTGGATCATATTTACATAGCTACATACACATTTTGTTAATTGTAGTTTTGTACAGAACGCTGATGATCAGACTGCCCGGCCCGCACCGGTCACCAATTTCTTCACGAATTTGCACTTTTGAATTATTTTTTTCTCCAGATTGATGAAGGATCAGTGACGGCGACCCGTACCTAACGTCAATATAAACGTTAACCGTTATTTTTTTTCAATTTATAAACGCTTTAACTTTATAAACTCAATATTATATGGTCGAAATCGTGGATTTTGCACTTCAGAACTGCACCTATATTGAACAGAAACCGACACGTATTTATATATTTTACGCAATTTTAGGACATAATGTATGACCTAGAAAACTGCACCTAAATAATATCGGTTGTTGTATATATGGTATAAAAGTTGAACGCTAACCGTTATTTTTTAAATTATAAACGGTTTAACGTAAAACTTTTTGACGTTAGACCCGCACCGCACTATTTATTCAATTTTTCAAGAGTTTTTGATTTTGTAAAGCTCATGAAAAACTCGTGAAGCAAATTGGTGACGGAAATCTTCACCGATTTTCGCCAAAACTCGCGAAGAAAAAAGGCTTCACCGATCCTCCACGAGTTTTGAAATTTCAAAAAGAGTATTGAAATCTGAAATAGAAAGGGATTTGAACGGTGAATTTTTAAACCTATTTTTGTACACTCACTCCGGGTACAATCATTCCAGAATGTGATGATGCGTTGTGGGCGGTTTCACAAAAATAAAAAAGCCCGCCCAATTTTATGAGTGAAAGCTAAAGTATTCTTTAATTAGAACTTTTGAAAATGGGTTTAACTCAAATTATATATTCGAAAATCCCGCACCGGTCTTTATCTAATTTAGAAGGCTATGCGGTCTCGCCAATTTAATTTCTGATAACCAATAAAATCCTCTAACAAAAATATACACTGGATTATGTTTTTCTGAATCAGTGAAGGATTCGTGAGTCGTGACCTGAGACCTGACACCGGTGCGGGCAGTCGAACACAGCAATGAGTCAAAAACAGCACTCTCGAGTCTCGAGTCACAGCACATACTATGACACTATAGGTGACAGGGGCCACGACTGATACCTGTTGGTCTGACACACACACATTATAACACGCGATGACAGTTGTTTTAGGGTTTTGGTGACACAACCACCATAGTCTCCTAAATTGAACACAAGAACACAACAACAAACAACTTGAATTGACAAAGTTTCATTTAGAAGGCTGTGACAACACACAACCGTCACAACAACAACAAGAAGAAGAAGAGAGAGGCGAGGAGGAGAGAGAGAAAGAAATTTTTTTATTAAAAATATATCACTTATGGTTTTCTTTTTTTTCTTTTTTTTTAATTACAACAGTGTATTTTGTGCAATACATTTTATATTCATTAGTTTTTTTTTGTCTGACTCTTAGGCCTTAGGATCTGATTTACTTTTAAAAATATATATATTTTTGAAAAAAGCTGTTTTTTATTATTTGTTTTTAGAAAACATCAGAATAACTGCTATTGATAGATATCACATGTTTGTGTCATAAGAGGTTTGAAGCAGGCAGCCACACAACAAGTGAAAAAAAATGACTTCTTCTCTGTGTGTGATCACTGAGACTGAGAGTGTGAGAGTTCAAGAATTGTGCTTCTTGTGTAAGTTGTGATTGTTTGTG